TTTTGGTTCCCGTCCACCTCGTACTGACAGGATATACCACTGATAATTTTTTCCTTTCATGTAACTTAATTTATTTTTTCTATTGATATTCCTAAGAGCGAAAATAATCCCAAAATTGCAAAGATGTAGAGAAAGATAATAATTGTTATAAGTAAGGATGAGAATAAACTTTGGTCAAAATTCAAAAATTTGAACAGTTTATTATATTTTTTGCTGGGGCTCAAACGGACTGTTTTTTTCATACAATTTTATTAAATTTATTTTATGATATTTCTAGCAGTCGGAAACTAATTTATAGACTTTTTCAATTATTTATTATCTTAAATAGTCGTTTTTTGTTTTTTTAAGAACAATTCTCTATAAACCAATAACCAAACATTTATTTTTCATTGGCAACAGAAAAAATTTAACCTATTAATTTCTTAGTTTTTTTACTAATCAGAAAAGACTTTTTTCTCGCCAGTTTTTCTTTTTTGCTCACTAAATAATTTTTTATTTGTCGACCAAATCTTAAAGATAAATAAGTTATTAAACTGAATAAAGCAAATCAGAAAACAACCAAAATAATTTTCCAAATAAAACGATAATCACGACTAATGCCAAGTTGTTCGGTCATATTCTTAGAACTGAAAAAAAAGTAGGGTCAACGGTGAAAAGGTTTGGTCAAATGTTCCCTTTTGCTCAGTCTAGTTCTTAGAAAACAATAAGCGAAGTAAAGCGTTGGTTGAACTAAACAAACGAGAAAAGTTAATTTTAACTTCTTTCTCGGTAAGTCCATTTTTTCATAACGAAAAAGTCAATAAATAAAGCCAGCGGGAGCAATAAGGTGCCAAAGAGGAGAATAAAGTCATCACTGGATTATTTTGACAGTTTCGCGAGTTGGTATCGGGACTATTTTTATCTCCGTGGTTAATCATAAAACTAGGCCAATCGCATATATCATCATTGTTAACAAATTACTAATCATAGTTATTAGAGAAAAAGTTTGAGTAGAATAAGTGCCATTTTTAGGTTTTTTTATTAATTTTCAAGTCAGGAAAGAAATAGTTATCAAGCAGTTTCAAACGCATCACCAAGTTAAGAAAAAATAAAAAAAAGCACTTGTTGGATAATTAATTCTTGTCGGCTCATTTCTACCAACAAATCAGCCAAAAATTAAGCAATATATTTGGGGAATGAGCAAGAAACAAAGCAGTTTTTTTTCCTTTTTCTCCATATTATAATTGTTTTTAACTTTTCGATTATCTCATTCGCCAATTAGAAACTTATTTAGTTTATTATTCTGAAAAGTTCTTATAAAAATTTCGTTGGTTATCACAGAAGCTTTCTATATTTTCTTTTAGTAAAGTTTCAAATATTGCTACTTTTTCGTTATCTTTTAACTCTTTCGCTTGTTCGATGACTTTAAATATTTTTTCAAGCACTTTTTTGCAACTACAATTAGAATTTTTGTAATAATTAAATAACTCTTTATATTTTTTGTCAATACTTTCCACCAATAAAATGGTTTTATTATTAAGTTCCTTAAATTCTCGGTAATGTTTGGAACATAATTCATCTTTCTTGCTTTCTATTATTGAGGAAAATGTTCAAGCCTGGAAAATAATTAAATCTTTTGCCTTACCTGAATATTTTTTTTCTTTCAATTGCTGGTCAAAAATTTCCGTATTCTCAAAAACAGGTCTGCATTTTTTAAAACAGTCACTCTTCTTATTCACTTTTTTCTTGTTAGTGTTTTGATAAAAAAACAGACGACCAGCCAGTATGCCTAAGAAAAACAAACCACATGCAAACACAATATTATCCAAATTTCTTTGTATTCAATTTAACATGGTATTATTATATTATTTTTTTAATCAAAAGTTAACCTTATAAGATAAAAGGGTTTTTCTAATAGCCTCTAAAATTCTAATTTTCCGGGAAACCGAGGAAAAGCAATCGTATCCCGAATATTTTCGGTACCGCTAATCAACATTATTAATCTTTCAAGTCCTAAACCAAAGCCAGCGCTGGGTGCATAACCATATTTTCTTAAATCAAAATATCAACTCAAATTATTGAGGTCTAAACCTATTTTTTTGGCCTTTTTTTGAAGAGTCTGATAATCATCTTCCCGCACACTGCCGCCAATTAGTTCTCCTATTTCGGGAAATAGTAAATCAAAGCAGGCGACTGTTTCTTCATCTCCGTTATTTTTCATATAAAAGGCCTTTAAGTCACGAGGATAATTTAACACAAAAATTGGTTGATTATCAAAGTATTGACATAAGTACTTTTCGTGCTCAGACTGTAAATCCATACCTCATTTAATATCGTTAAAAGCAAAATTTTCTTTTTTTTTTTCTAATATTTTGAGACATTCGCGATAGTCAATTTTTTTGAATTCGCTTTTAACAAGTTTTTCTAATTTTATAGTTATTTCCTTATTGTTATGTTTTTGGTATTTTTCCAAAAATTCCAGTTCGGAACTATTATTTTTAAGAACGTAACTTATTACCTGTTTAATCAGTTTCTCGGCCAAATTGGTTATTTCTGCTAGATCAGCCCAAATCATTTCCGGTTCCACCATTCAAAATTCGGCTAAATGACGGGTAGTGTGAGATTTTTCAGCACGAAAACACGGAGAAAAATTATAAACTTTCCCTAATCCTTGAGCTAGTGCTTCGGCTTGCAGTTGACCGCTGACGGTTAATTTGGCTGGCTTGGGGAAAAAAGGCTCTTTTTCGCTAGTATTAATATTAAATAGTTCGCCTGCTCCTTCCGTGTCATTACTAGTAATAATTGGCGTCGGAATGTAATAAAAACCTTCCTGGTGAAAAAAATCATGAATGGATTTGCTGATAGAATGACGCAAGCGAAATATTGTTAAAAAATAATTAGTTTTGGCTCGCAAATGGGGATAGTCACGCACTACTTCTAAGGGAATGTTTTTTTTTTGCAACAGATAATCAGGATCAACGTAGTTAATGAATTCAATTTTTGTGTCCTGCAATTCACAAGATTGCTTTCCTTCCGGAGTAAGAACTAATTTGCCGCTTACTACTAAACTGCTAGCAAAATTTATTTTTTTCAATAAATCTAGTTGGGAAAATTTTTTTTGCAAAATAATTATCTGTAAATTATCGAGTGTTGAACCATCATTAAGATTGATGAAGGTGATTTCTTTGCCTTCTCTAACTGATTTTACCCAGCCACCAACTTTAATAATTTCCCCGTCTTCACTTAATTTTTCGGCTTGTTGGTAAATGTCCTTAATGGTAACTAACATTTTTAGCAATAAATAATTAATTTGCTTTGTTTGCTTCAATCAATAATGATTCTTATAATTATATTATTAGGAAAACAGAAAGAAAACTTTTTTTGTTAATTACACTTGTTTTACCAAGGATTTTGGACTTTATTAATTAGGGTCTCAAAATGTTGTGGTTGATGAATTACCATTTCAGATAATTGTTTGCGATCCAATTTAATTTGGGCTAATCTAATCATTTGCATAAATCGGGAATAAGTTAATCCTTTTTCGCGGCAAGCACTGTTTAAGCGAGTTATCCATAATCGGCGAAAATCTCTTTTTTTTTGTTTGCGACCTGCGTAAGAATAAGTTAAAGAGTGCATTAATTGTTCTTTAGCAGTTTTAAACAATTTGTGTTTCGAGCCAAAATAGCCCTTGGCTTGCTTTAAAATTTTTTTTCGTCGTTGCCTGGTTGCTGGTGTATTACTTACTCTAGTCATTTTTATTTAATTTTATTTAATAATTTCTTCTTTATGTGCTACCGTTTTTCGGCAAAATTTGCAATATTTTTTTAGGCTTAACTTCTCACCTTGCGGCTTTTTCGCTTTGGAAGTCCGATAATTTTGATGCCTTTTTGTGCAACCACCACAAGTTAAAAATAAGTTGACGCGCATAGATTTATTATTTTTTCTTCTTAGGAACCACCTTTGCTGACTTCTTTTTTTTCTTTAAATTTTCCGTCATGCTGATAAACCTATTCACTTGTGCTTCTGAAGGTTTTTGTCCCAAAGCACTCAACATATTTCTTACTTGTTCCTTGTCTGGCTTCTCCATTTTATTTTGCCACTTTTCCATTTCTTTTTTGAGAAGATAACGGGTAATAAATCAACCTAGCATTACTCCCAAAATTAAGGAAATTGGTGCAACAATTAAACATGTTCTTATTCAATCCATAATATATACATTTTACACCTTTCGCACAATAACTCTCATTTTGGCACTTCGAGATCGGTGGTTTTCACTAAGTTCTTTTGGAGTAGGAATTAAGGGTTTTTTAGTGATAATTTGGAAATTATTAGACAAGGCACGTTTTTTGAATATTTGCTTAACAATTCTATCTTCTAAGGAATGGTAACTAATGACAATAATTCTTCCGTCTATGGCAAGATATTTAAGAGCAATTTCTAAGGATTTGGTCAGATTTTCTAGTTCGTTGTTAATAAATATTCGCAGAGCTTGAAATACTTTGCGAGCAGGATGTTTATTAGTTTTGTGAGAAAAACAGGAAGCAACTATCCCCACTAATTGTTCTGAGTTAGTAATTTTTTCTTTTTGTCGTCGGTGGCAAATCTTGCGAGCAATTACCCGCGCTTTTCTTTCTTCGCCAAAATGATAAAAAATATCGGCTAATCTTTCATAAGAATAATTATTAATAATATCTTCGGCTGTTAGTCTGATTTCTTGACTTATTCTCATGTCAAGCGGGGAGCTTAATCGATAACTAAAGCCCCTCTGCTCCTCAGCCAATTGGTTCGAAGAAAGACCCAAATCAAGCAAAAACCCATCTACTTCTTTGATACCAAGTTCTTTTAAATGTTCTTCTAGGTTGGCAAAATTATCATTAATCAGGTGAAATTGTGGAGTGAGAAAAAATTTATCTTCTTGAAGCAAGTTGGCAGTTTTTTCATCTCATTCAAAAGCAATTAATTGACCCTTTTTTAATTCTTTTAATATGGCTCGTGAATGACCGCCCTTGCCAAAAGTACAATCGACATAAGTCCCATCTTTTTTTAAATTGAGATGGTCAAGAACCTCATTAAGCATTACTGGGACATGAATTCCACTACCTATGGTCATTACTAATATTTTAAAAAGATTTTTCTCTAAGTAATTATTAACTTTTTTTGTCAACAATTACAATATTTTTGTCTTCTAGTTTTCTAATGGTAATATTGGTTAAATTGAGTTTTGGCATATTAAGTTTTTAATTAATAAAAGCAAAGACTAGAAATGAGAAAAACTTTAAAATGTTTTATATAGGTATTTCTAATAAATAGAAAGTTGTTTATATAGGTGAAAAAATAATATATAAGTAAACATCAACAAGAAAAAGTTGTTTCCTTTTTGCGTTTGCTTGGTTAAATTTTAAGAATTAAATATCCGTTTTCTTGATAACTTGTAACGGCAATTTCAACTAACAACAAAAAGTGGAGAAAAACTTTGCACATGGTAATATATAGGCAGTGTTTCAGGCGATTTGAATAGCCTGTTTTTACTGAACATTTTGTGAAAAGGGTTAAGATTCTCCCCTTTCTTTAGCAAAAATAATAACATTATGGCAAACTGAGAAAAAATACATAAAGATTTTGGTAGGGGAGAATACAAAAAATATTGAGAAGAAAACGGATTTGACTATCAACAAACTAAAGCTTGAATTGATCTTGGATTAACCCCTGATTATTCTGTTTTTGCTTGATGACTAGTTAAGGAAAAAAACCTAACTCCTGAATCAAATCCAAACATTAAAGAACAAGAAAAGGAATACAACAATTGAAAAAGAAAGTGAAAAGATGTTGATCTAGATTTTAATCCATCAGCGATGATGGAATGAAGAAAAAAAGGTTTTGATATTCAGGAAGTCGAGGAATGGATAAACGTTGGCTTAAAGTTCGAAGAGTATGAATTTGCTAGCCAGTTAAAAGAAAATGACATCAACCCTCAGCGATATACTAGTTTCAAAAGCAAGGATGCTCAAGAATGATTAAACTATTTTTATCCTAAAGAAAAAAGAGATAAGGTTAAGGAATTGAACTTTAGTGAAAAGAATTTAGAGGGTTCTTTAAAATTAACAGAATTTATTAATTTAGAGAAATTAAATTGTTCTAGAAATAAATTAGATTCCTTAAATGCTAGAAATTTAAATTATCTCCAAAAACTTGATTGTCAGAAAAATAAATTGGTTAGTATTGATTGTAGTAATTGTTCACAATTACAAATTTTAGATTGTAAAAAAAATAAATTAAACTAATCTTAACCTAACCAATTGTTCAAATATTGCTGAATTTTGTTCTTTAGAAATATGATCATTGCCCTCTCTTTTTATTTCTACTTGAACATTTGTTTCTGATCCTTGGTTTGCACTGATTACTATTTTTCTTTCTTCAACACCTTGCAATTTATCTGAACCTTCACTAATTTCTACTAGTCCTAATCCATAATATTTATTACCTTCTATCTCTACCAAAACAGCAAAGGGTTTATTGCTTCGCCACTGATATTTGTTTGGCATCAGCAGGCAAATATTATTTTTGCCCTCCTTAACTAACTTGTTCATTAAACTAAGAATTTGTTTAGTTCCTGATAACTCAATTTCTTTTTCTTCACCGTCTTTATTCTTTATTCAGACTTTTCTTTCTCGGGCACCGCTTTCGATCGAAGAACTTTGGTCTCAGCGGGACATAGTATCACTACTTTTGGTGATAACGTATTCTGAACCAGTTATTTTCAGGCTACCATCTGGTTGAATAACTTCTTCATCTTTTTGAGATATGTAGTCAACCTTTATGCCTCCCTCAATACCGGTAGAACCTTGTTCATTTATTTGTGGTAGTCAACCATTTCCTAAGCCGTGCCAAGACAAGGGTTCACCATAACCATTATATAAGGCTACTTTCATAATGTGCAGTAATCTTTCTTCTAATTCTTTTGTATCGTAAGTAGCTCATTTTTTATGCTTTTCATCATGCTGACAGTTATCTTTTTCTTCTTCTCCACACTGGTCACAATTTCTTTTTTTGTATTTTACTGCTACTTTCTCTCCATAAGGTAACAGTCCTAATATTGAATAAATGCCATCGACTGGGTTACCTCGGCCACGATTTTTAATCTCTCGCAAGGCTTCGTGTAATCTAAGTGAAACTCTATCCGTTGATTTGTATCCTTTTTCATCCTTCCCTTTATAATATACTCAACCAATGGGAGTAGCAACTTTTTTTGAGCCTTCATCAGATTTGCTAAAATTGATACCAATATGGGAAGGTTGTTGGAATACTCAAAGAGCGGCCATTTGTCTACCATCTACCAAAATGTCATCAAACATAAAAAGGGTTCATTTAGATAGTCAGCCTTCTTGGAAAGTTCAAGAACGCGTAAATCATTCGGAACAAGTAATTCGTTTTAATATGTCTAGTAAGTCTAGTTCTTCTTCATCTACTTTTGCTTTGGCTTGAATGCCAATTAAAGTTACTACGGCATTACTGTAGTATTGCCTCATTTTTGGTACCTCATGTTCTTTTTCCTTGTTATCGTTCTGATTAATGCATAATTGATCCATTCATAAGTGGTTGATGTTCAAATTGGGATGTTGACAAGTTTCGATAGCTTTTTTTCAAGATTTGTAGCCCAAACGATTAACTGGGTTTTCGTATCCTAGTTCGCTACTATTTTTTCATAAAGTGTCTAATTTATCTTTCTCTTCTTCTAGTAACTTATTTTTATCGCTATTATCACCCCACACATAAGAGAGAATAGCGTAATTTTTTATGTCTGAATTTTCTTTTACTAGTTTGTTATCTTTAATGCTATAGAGTTTAGTTGGCAGTTCCTCTGATGACAAAACTTTATTCTCGTCAATTTTTTGAGATGTTTCAGGATATATTTTGTTATCGTAGTATTTTTCTTTAACTTCATAGCTTTCTGCAAGTTTATTTCCTTTTTCGTTAGCAAGTGAAGGAGGTAAGGTTGGTATGATTTTAACTATGTTTTCATCTCTTCACTTGGAAAAATTGTATTTTCCTTCTTCGGTATCAGCATAAGGAGCGAGTTCTGCCTCAATTAGTTTTACTTTTCTTTCTGATCGGTGAGAAGAACAGTTAAAGCATTGAATGCTTTCTGGCAGATGTTCTAGTCCAATATTAATGTCAGTATTGGAAATGTCTAATTCTTCTAGTTTGTCTAGATATTTTAGGGGTTCTAAGGAACCGGCAAACTTATTGTTATCCAAGTATACTTGCCTTAAATCAATAAATTTTTTAAAATAAGATAGATCATTAATACTATTATTTGCCAAATTAATTATTTCTAATTTTTCATTGAATAGTCCTTGTAAAAACTCTAAACCAGTGAGATTATTTTCAGCACAATAAAAAATAGAATTATTAGTTGAAAAACTGTCTCGATTAGAACTAGAAAAAGGATTATATCAATTAGTTTCGGAAGCCAAAAATAAACTTGGTAGAGATAAATCTGTTTTATTAGACTCTTTGCTGAAAAATAGAAAGGAACTGATTGAAAGCAATATTTTGCCTACTAATAAAATGATTAAAGAAGAAGAAGAAGAAGAAGAACTTATTAGTGATACTGTGCTAAAGGGCAAAGGTAAGTTGGACAAAGAATATTTAGACAAAATTTATCAGAAGCAAGTTGAATTAGCTGAATTAGAAAAGCAAATGAATGATTCAAGGTTTCAGAAAGAACAACATCAATCCCACATCCAAATCCCACCTAAATAAAAAAAGTGCCTTTACACTTACTTTCTTTTTAAAATTAATAATATAGTAAGTTAACTTTAATTTATCCCTTATGAATACTACTAATATCTTGTATGGATGGTATACTCTTGATTGATAAACCAGCGGGAATTACTTCGCACTGAGTTATTGAAATTATTCGGCGGAAACTGAATATAA